CTTAATATGTTATGCACTGTTGAAGGTAAAAAATATAAATGTTTTCCTATCTTTCTTTGAGGAACATTGTTTTTAAACATTTAACTAATTTTTTCATTTATTTGTTGTCAAACTAGCTGTCCTCAGCCCTTTCTTGCTCCCAAAGGACTAGACCAGGGGTGGCCAACCCTGTTCCTGGAGAGCCACCTTCCTGCAGATTTAAGTTCCCCATATAAAACACACCTTAACCAATTAATTAGGACCTGGACACCACGGGAAAATTACAGGCAGGTGTGTTTGATATGGGTTGCAACTCAAATCTGCAGGAAGGTGGCTCTCCAGGAACAGGGTTGGTCACCCCTGGACTAGACCTTTCTTGGATTCTACTTTTGTACCAATTCATAATTACAATCACCTGTTAACATCTGTTTCAGTTTACATCATTAATTAACCAAATTACTTAATTACTGGCCATAAATCAGCTAAGTTCTGCTTCAACCTTTTTGAAATGTGTAGCAAGAACAAAAATGTTTATTTTGACCAAATAAAAAATAAAAAGCAATAAACATCACAAGGAACACATAGCACATCTGTAAAATTTAAGAGATCTATGAAGATATTATTATCAATAGTGTCAAATGCAAAACTGAGGTCAAGTAAAACTAGTAACAAGATGCAGCCTCTGTCAGCAGTTAAAAGTAAATTGTTGGTTGTTTTCACTAAAACTTCAAAACTTCAAAATCATTATTGACCTGTGGAAAGGAGCATAAATAAAAGATTTGAAATAGTGTATAATTAGCTAAGATGCTGGGATCAAGTTGTGATTTTCTTAATAAGAGGTTTAATAACAGCTAACTTGAAAGTATTTGGAACATGGCCTAAAGACGAAAAAAATTTGAGAATGTAATAAGAAGAGGTTCTCCTACTACAGACAGCAACCCCTGGTAATTTTGTTAGAATTGGATCTAACATACATGTAGCTGATTTAGACATATTTAAAAATGAAATTTTGAGACACTGTAGATTGTTTAGCCTTAGTGGAATGTTTAATAATTTCTGAAGTGTAATGCTGTGTTCACATGAGACGCGGAACGCGCGTCAATCGCGAGTGATTTACATGTTAAGTCAATGCAAATGCGAGAATAGACATCCTGCGGCGCGATGCGTACGAATGGCGCAGCGCAAATGATGCGAATTGCGCGAATGGTGCGGTGCAAATGGTGGGTACACGCGAATGGCACGCTGCAAACTGAGCGTTTTGCACGTTTGACGCTCCTAATGAGCATTTCGCGCGAATCACTAAGGTTTAAAAATCTGAACTTTAGCGAACATTCGCGCCACGTTAACCAATCAGGAGCTTGCTCTTGTGGTGGCGGGATTGTGACGTATCGCCTGTTCATCAATCTTTGCTTGGCTCAGTCAGAAGCACCGCTGAAAGCCTCCGTCATCCAGGTTCAGTTTCTGGAGGAGTTTATGAGCTCACAGAACTGGATGCACCTCTGAAAGGATGTAGTGGACTCAGACACGACCCTAAACGTATCGATGCTGTTTTTCAGTCTTCATAAAGCACATAAGCACTGTTATTTTCTTCATAAAATCCATGTTAGCCATTTAGCTATGAAGCTAGAGTCACCTGGCAGACAGAAGCCCTGCCCATCATGCGAATCCGTGTCTGTTCTGAAGTGAATTTGATGCGTGAATGAAGCGAATAACCTCAAATGTTCACGCGGCTGTTTACGTGCGAATATTGTGATTTATCCGCGCATTCCGCGTCTGGTGTGAACAAAGCATAAGATGGTGCAGTAGGTTTAACATCTTCTATTTTCAGTCTGAAGCCTTCTATTTATGACTGAAAAAAATCACCACTGCTAATTTGTGGTAGGACATTTTGTTCAGTGTACAACTGATTATTTGTTAGTTTAGCAATGGTGTTAAGTAAAAATCTAGGATTGTCATGATTATTTTCTATTAGTTTGGGGAGGTGCTCGGTCCTGGTGGATATTAGAGCCTTCGTATAGCTGGACATACTATCCTGTCAGGGTTTGTAGGTGAAGGAGAACAGGTGAGAACCCAAATGCAGTCAATTAAGGACCTTATTTAAAAAAAAAAAAAAAAAAAAAAACTTAAGCAACCCTAAGGGGGGGAAACATAGTTCTAGCACAAACTGACTCAGCTCCTCTTTGCTTGACTCTGCTAAAGCTGCCGTCACACTGCACTTTTCTCCCCATAGACTTCCATTCAAATGCACACGAATGCGTCCTCTCTGGACAGAAATTTAAAACATAAACCAATAGTTTGCTTTTTTAAATGTATAATCATCTTGTTTAATCCCACCCTTTCTTGTAGTGCCGCACGACAGCATTTGGCATGCTCAAACTTTAGTGTGACAGCAGCTTAAATAGGGAAATCAAACCAATAAACTGATAAGAGGGCAGGTGAACAAAAATTAATAATAGTATAACAAGGTGGGTGGGACAAGACAGAAGTCAGGAGAGCACCTGGCACAAAGAGACACGCGAGCATTGTGCTCATGTCAAACAGGACTAGAACATGCAGCCAATGAGAATAATCATTAACTGCATGTTCACATGAAACAAGACACTAAAGTATGTGGCACATGTAAACTTGAGTCGCATGCTTAACACAGCACAAGACAACATAAGACAAGATTTAATGCTAGACACGAGTACACAATAAATTAAACACCTACCATGTACTCACATTCTCAGCACCAACCGAAACAGAAACCAACTCGACTGAAGCACTGAGAACAAAACTTGCCGCAAACAAACAACATAATCAGAGAGGAGAGCGTGCATGACCCGAGCCCGCCTAGACCTTGCATGCCCACATCAAGTGAGAGCATGTGCGGCCTGAGCGCAGCACAGACCTTGCACATTTTAAAGACAAAAACACAGACATAGACAGCAGAAATGAGTGCACAGCCTGAGTAAACTGGAGCCAATCACATCATTCAAGACAAGACAGGACTTGTGGCACCAAAACAAGAATAATAATGACACTATCTTTGAACACAATCTTCAGGATCTCTAATTTTTTTCACTTATGTTTAAAGGTAGGAGTTGCAGATAGTTCATCATATACATATGAGTCAAGTTGATAAATTCATTGTTATATTTAGGCCCAATCCCAATTCTATTTTTGTACCCCAATCCCTCCCCCTTCTCCTTGGCCCTTACAACCGAGGGTTGAGGGTAAAGGCTTCAAAATTTATCCCTAAGAATTGGGACAGCACTACAGCATCTGCACATGTCAAGGTCATGAGCTCAAGCACATCCAGTTGTGCTATGTTTTAATATTAATCTTCAAGAAATCACTGAAGGCATATATTATGTTATCATAATGATCTAATATGGCAATAAGAACTGTATTGTGTATTTACACAGTGGCCATATTCATCTATGTAAACACACGAAAACAACACTAACATTATAGCAGACACTGTAAAAAGCTCATTCTCAGCCACTAGACTTTTCTGACAGGGTATTGGAGTGTCATCGAGTGTCAGAATGTTGTAGGACTACTATACAGGGGTTATGATTATGGATTATAGATCGCGAAATCAATCGTTTTTTTTTTTTTTTTTTAAGCATGACAGTAAAACACGAACACTGTAATGAATATATTAAAACATATGTTTGTTTGTCGTAAAAATTTGTAATAATGACAAAAAATACTTATTTGTGAATCTCCTTACTTCCAGGTTCAGCAATACTGCCGTTGTGTCTGGTGTATTCTGGGAAATTTTCTTACCCCTTGGTTTCGAGTGTGGTCCTGAAAAACCTTCGTTCGAAGGGCTATTCACTCCTTTCCTTTAGCCCTGTACCTTCAAGCTAAAGTGAATTGGGACACCGCTACCCCTTGGCGTGAACGCGTAAATAAGGGGTAGGGGTAAGGGAAGGGCTAAGGGGAAGAATTGGGATTAGGCCTTATTCTGCTAGATTTAACTGTTAGGTTAAATCTAATTACTCATAATGAAATAATAACTTGTCATTATTATTCATTACTATTTATAAATTTGAGCTCATTTTGTTACATGCTATCAAATGAAAAAAAAAAATATTTGCAATCTTATGTACAAATAAAATTACTGTACAGTTTAAACATCACTGAATACCATTCAAATTCTTTATTATATTGTTATATTTTTATAATATATTGTTGTTTTATCAAACTTTATGTTGTATTTACAAATAAAATAACTTTGAGGAAATAAATGAATTTAATCCATTTTGGAATAAGGGTGTAACATAAAAATGTGGAAAAAGTGAAGCGCTTTCAATACTTTCTGGATGCACTGTAGCAATAGCAATATGGATAACAGGAAAAATAATCATGGTGCACATTTCTCTAATCTTAAAGCTGAAGTTATGTTTATGAAATTGGTAACTAAGAGACGTAACACTGAATTGATATATTGCAGTCCTGTAAATATTTTCAGCAAATTGTGGTGTGTAAAAGATGTTTCAGACATCCCAAGTCTCCCGGAAATCACACACCCGGTCCTCCAATACATGCACACCCCTCTCCACCACATCCCTCTCCACTTATGAAATACGTTTTGCACGTCGAGATTGTTACCTGGAGCTATGCTGTAAATGTCACAGTCTTTGTGATTGTATTTGTGATAAATTGTATGTATTTTGTTAACAAAAGGATTTTTTTTATGCATGAATGCAGTGTGCTAGATTGACACCCTGATTTATAATCTTAAACAGTTTTTCTTTTCTTTTTTTTTCTTCAAATACTTTAATGTTGTTCAATGGAAGGTTTTATTTATGGGTTGAAATATTTAAAGAGTCGAACGTATCAGTGTCAAATGTTAAATTTAGTTTTAGGCCAAAATGTCAACTTATACCCCAAGAAAGAAGCAAAATCATCAGGTGTAAAGGAAGGATTTAAATGCAGTATTTTTTATGTTGTTAAATCCAGAATTTGACACACACGCACACACACACACACACTGTTTACTGACCTCCCTGTGTTTTATCTCACCCCAGATCAACTGCGTCACATTCCCTGTGTCCACATCCACACCGGAGCAGGAGCTTCTCAAGCCCAATGAATGGAGCTACTGCGACTATTTCTGGGTGAGAGACAGAGAAACTGATGAGTGAGAGGACTGATGCAATACCAGTGCAGACAAAAAAAAATAATAATAATAACATTAAAGCAAATTTTATCAAAAAAATAATTAATAAATGTATAATATGTATATGTAAATGTATAATAAATCGGTAATAAATATATTAAAATATATTGAAATGTAATTTAAAATAAAATACCAAATACCTCAATTTTACATTTATCAAAATAAACTACAAAATACAGCAACCACAAATGTATCATAATAAAAGACTGTATCTTAATTCATTTATTTTCTTTTAGGCTTTTTGTCTGGGAAACATCCATACATATTCAATCAAACTCATACACTATAGACACTTTTAGCTTACCTAATTCATCGATATGTGTTCTAGGTTATTTAAATTTTTCTATAAAGTTTTTTCTGAAAACTACTAAAAACTACAAATAATGGTTTTTGTTTTTTACGGCTTAGTCTTGAACGAGACTACGGCTTGAACTGGCAACTTATCCAGCATAAGTTTTACGCTGCGGATGCCCTTACAGCTGCAACTCATCTCTGGGAAACATCCTTGCACACTCATTTACACTCATACACTATGGACAATTTAGCCTACCCAATTTACCTGTACCGCATGTCTTTGGACTGTGAGGGATACCTAAGCACCCGGAGAAAACCCATGCGAACACGGGGAGAACATGCAAACTCCACACAAAAAGCTAACTGACTCAGCCAAGGCTCGAACCAGTGACCTTCTTGCTGTGAACGTGCTACCCACTGCGCCACCGCATCGCCCCTTAAATAATTTAATACATGTAAACTATTTCATTAGAAAATGAAATATATCAAACATAAAATTTTATTTTTTATCAGGTAAAGATTATTTATGCTAATTTACATAAATAAACAAAAATAAGCCAATTCAGAAGTGTATAACACCAATTACTCAAATATAAATACAAGATATCTAATATACATGGATACCTGATCGTGTAGAAGTATGTTGCAGAATATACAGATATGGCAACTGGGAATGTATGAGTGATCTGAAGTGGTGTTGCCCGTTACTGTGGTAATTAGTTTATATTGTACTTTTTATTCCCAAATCGTTATAGCTTTTGTTTTTTTATATTGGTTTATTTAATGTTTTTATTATATCCAATATTTTTATATCTTTAAATGATTTCAATATAACTTTATATTGCTATTAGGCTTTTTTATCTAGATCTATGAAATTGTGTTAAACTTACAAAAGTGGAGACCTAAATTTTTAAGTTTTATGTCTTTCTGTTGTATTCATATATTATATATTAATACAAATATGTCTTCATTATCTCCAAAATAAAGAAAGAAAAAAACCCAGCCGCTTGAGGCATTGATCGAGCTGAATCGAGCGCTCTTTTGGCTACACTAATGCCTTAAAATGTAACAAAGTAGCTGTTTTAAATGACATTAGATTGTAACATTTAGCTTTTCCCTAACACCGATGTTGGTTGGGTAATACGTGAAGTGTGATGACTCGGTTAAGCTGATTTCACTATAATTATTTACCGGTTATACGAATCTTGCATGTGTGGGCATAATTTGATGTCTTTTCCTAAAACTTTAAACATTCACAGGCCTGTTATATGAAATAAAATGGAAATAAATAAGAAGAATAACATATGATTTAAAGCACTATTCTGGCACTGAAGCAATGATCCGTCTGCATTAATAAGCGGTATTGGTGCATTACCATCATTAATAAAATCAGTATAAAGCGAAACTGTTCATATTATTATTACTATTAAAACGTATATTACTACCTTAGGTCAGTAACTTAAGCAGTAATGCAAAGTAATAAATAATAAATGTGAATAAATAGCCTAAATGAAAGGAACAAAAGAGACCAAAATCAGTCACCAGGTCTAGTGCCCCCCCGTGGATTTAAAATGCCCCCTCAGTTCTGACATCCTGGCACGGGGCCTGGTCAATGGAAAAGTGGTTGTTGCTTGCGCCACCTGGTGGCTATTGCGTAAAGCACAAAATTATTATTATTATTTTAATGAAAAGGCTGCCTTTGCAGCTGCACTACTACGCATGACTGTGCAAGACAAGTTGCAGCACTGTGTGGGAAGAAATGCGTGTTCTCAGTAGTCACATCTGTAATTCTTGATGTAGAGCTCAGAGACTTACAATGGGATATCCTGGCTACAGGATCCCACAGACACTTTTGTTTCTTTCCCTTAAATACTCAAAACACAACTAACAATCAGAAATTCAAAACAATAAATGCTTTACAAAGACCCCTGTCTGGTTATGATTTGATACCATTTTCCCTGGAGTGGACTATTTGGCAAATATCTTACCAAAGACAAAACCAAGAAAAAACTGATCAAAGTGAAATTTTGAAATATTACTGTGAAATTGACACCACTTTACCAATCAAACAGAGACATTTACAATGATACCAAACATGAAAGATCCACAAGGTACAACATATTGAGAACTTGGACATTGCATGTGGAGTATTAGTGAGCTGCTCTGGTGGAAAATGTTAAGTAAAGGGCAGAAAGGGGGGCTCAGGCAACCAGTGTCCACCCCTCTCACTGTTAATAAGAGCATCATATGCATGATTGAGACAGATAAACAGCTGATTTCCTCAATAGTATCTGGATGCAGCGTTTATGATGCAAGCTAAGATTGCATCACTCAGCGATGCAATGTCAGACACAATGCACTCAATGGAGTGAGTAGCGTCACTGTGACGCGTAGGGTTAGGGGTGGAGTTAGGTGAGCGTATTAAAAAGCATTCAATGCAGCTCAGATTGCACTGCACCTAGTCTGTATCCAGACCCCTCTCGATTTCCTTGCTGATCTTCTCAGATTAGAAGGTTTATTGTTTTATTGCATGACAGATCTTGGGGTTTTTATTTGATGGAGAGATTTAGCCATTCTTACACTGATTTAAATGACAAACAAAAATAAATGAATGAATAATTAAACTAAATATGCTACTAAAATAAATATAATAAAAACTAAAATAACACAGCATTGTCTTTTTTGGAAGATTTTTTTTCATTATAATCATTTTATTTTGATTACACATGCACACACACACGCACATACATTGTACAAATATGTTTATGGAGACTTTCCATGGACATAATGATTTTCATACTGTACAGAATGTATGTTCTATTCCCTACCCTTTTGAGCTGTTTTTATGGGGTCACCACAAGGTCAAAATATACTGATATTGCTATACTTGTGGGGGCATTTGGTCCCTACAACATTACAATTATAAGATGAAAGAGAAATAGAGAGAGAGAGAGAGAGGGGGGGGGGGCGTATTCCATTAACATGCTGCACACACACCCTGCATCAGGAGCCCTCACATTACATTAGTCATACCCTCTACAACCTAAACACATCCTTCACAGAGAGACACACTCAGATACACCCGTGAGGGCAAACACCCCTTCCCACACACTCTGATTCACGCAAATCCATGCCGTGACTCACACAAAAACATGTGATAGCTCACGTGTTGCTGACAGTCTGCTGTTGATGGTGTGGTGGTGTGCATGATGTCTCTCTGTGCTCCGCAGACCGATAAGAGAGACCTTCAGGGGGCCACAGTGACCGGCTTCGAGGTGCTGCTGCAGAAACAGCTAAAGGGGAAGCAGATGCAAAAAGAGATGGCAGAGTTCATCAGAGAAAGGTGGACAACCTTATGTAACATATCACTTTCATATGATGTTTCAGGCCTGTAGCCTGTAGGGGAGGGGGGAGGCTGAATTAAGGCTGTACATACTTTAGTTCACTAATGTACTGTAAACATGCAGTACAAAAAAAGCATGTCCTAAAACATGTACTATACTACCATGTGCATGTTATATTTACAAAGTTAACTTTTAGCCTGACTCAAAATAATTAGTATTGGTATGGTATAAAGGTCTGTCAGAATAGGAATATTTGATATAGGTCTGTCATTGACTATTTGACCACTTTCTTAATGTTTAAGGATAAAAATTGAAGAGGAATATGCCAAGAACCTTTCCAAACTCTCCATGTTCCCTATGGCAGCACAAGAGGAAGGGTAAGTCACAAGAGAATTTTAAAGTTGAACACATGCTTATCCTTCACTTCCTCACACATTTAAATAAGGTTATTATTACTATTATTATTGTTATTATTAATTTAATAAGGGCTATTAATATATTGTAAAGGTGTATAAAATGTAGTAAAATGTTAACTGGTTGTTTAGGTTAGAAAATATTGTACATTTAGGAGGTTGTTCTTGTTAAATTTAGCCTGACAGTCTTATCATTTTGCATATGTCTAAAATCAATCAAGAAATACAGACTAGACACAACTGCAAGTCTCACACTTTATATATTTATTTGGACACCAACAGAAGGACAGTCTCTGAAAATGAAATATTCAAATGTACCAACATAATCTACTCCAAAGAAGAAAAAAATAAAAAAGATGCTCAGTAGCCCTCTGTAACTGGAAAAAAAAAATGAAAGTAGGGAAAATTCCAGCAACAAAAACACTCCTTAGAGGGCCTGGAAAATGGCTCACTGGTCTCAGGGAGAAAGAGCAGGAGAGCCGGCTGTGTAGCAGAAAAAGTAAAAAATGAAGAGTACAAAAACTGACTGGAAGCCAGACACTAAAGGATTCACAACAAGACGTAAGAGGCTGGGATAGATATAACGTTAATAAAATAAATATTTGCATTCCTAAACAAATGCTTAAACATTCTTGAATGTATATTTGCAGTGTACGGTATCTATCTAATATGTATCCATTTAATAAAACTAGTATGTATCTATTTAATAAATAAGTTAGAAATTTACACTCGGCAAGCACCAAATCTAGGTAAGTTAAAAAACAACGTTGTTGAATACTGTATATGAAACAGTGTTGCTGGTAAGTCACGTAATTAACCTAACAGTGCTTCTTCAATTTATTCTGCCTGTTTTAATAAAGTATTACAGTATTACAGGTAACAATATTCATGGCCAGTAAATGATCATTCAGTAATTCAATTGCATTAATTCATACAGAACATTCTAAGAAGAGTACATTAAATGCACTTTAAATTCACAGATGATGCACTTATTCAACCAATAAAAAGAATGAAAGAATGGCTCTTCATGCACTTAACAGTCACACCTTTGCTTTTGTATTAGATAAGGGTGATAAAGTTGGATTACTTTATTTTGTATTGCACAAACAAAATTATCTAACAAACATGATTTTGTTATCATCTCCTGACTGCGAATGCAGTTGTACTCATGGTAGGTAAAATTTGGTAATTTATTTCAATATAATTTGTTAATCATTAAATGTTGACTGAAAAATGGTTTAATTTATGATTATTAAAAAAAAGCACTTTTGGCATGACAGTTAACCCAAACAGTACGTGGTTCTTTGCAATTTTAGTCATCTCATCTTGTGCATTTTATAGAAGCACACTTATTATGGTAAATGAAAACAACAATAAGCAGTCAATGGCAGCTTTAACAATGTTTTGATTCAGGACTCTTGGAGAAGCTTGGGCTCAACTCAAGAAGAGTCTAGCAGATGAAGCCGAAGTTCATCTCAAGTTCTCCTCAAAGGTGTGCAGTTTTCAATTATCTCTTTGACATTTCTTAATAGAAGTGATGTGTAGTGAGAACCAGCTGAGAAACAAACAGCTCATTGTGCATTGTCATTGTTGTGCACTGTCAGAGAAGATGGAGGATATCTGGCCTTTATTTTTTTTCTGCACTCAATAGCTTTCCCTAAGAGATGTTATAAGCCACCTGTTTGTAATGAACTACACTGCTTTCTTCAGTCTGCTGTCATTTGTCTATTTTCACCACTGTTCACACTAGTGTGCTCCATTTAGCACAAGTGTGGGTGATTAATTGCAGATAGATGGAAGTGATTCTGCAGTATTATTCTCTCAGATCATGTATGATTTACTAAGATGGCAATACAAAAAGCCTCTTTCTTAAAAAAAAAAAAAAAAAAAACATCATTATTACTAACATGACAATTTTGAGCATCCAAATGAAGTAAATGACGTTTTGGAGAAACCCCATGGTTTATTTCAGACACTTCGCTATGTTTGTATCTAGACATGCCATGTACTGTAGCTGTGTGACTGATTTAGATTATTATTTTTTGCCTCCAGCTCCAGAGTGAAGTGGAGAAGCCTTTATTAACTTTCAGAGGAGACAACTTTAAAAAAGACATGAAGAAATATGACCACCACATTGCTGACCTGAGAAAGCAGCTGGTCAGCCGATACGCTGCAGTGGAGAAGGTACAGTCTCTCTGGATGTCTTGATTAAACCCCTGCGAAAAAGAAGTGTGCTTAATTGTGTTAATTACTAATGTCGTAGCAGCAGTTTCAAATATATTTAAATACACAACTACTGTTTTACCATCCTCCCGCAGGCTCACCACCTGCAGGAGGGAGCCGTAAGGGGGCAGTGCATTGTGGAATGGGTGGTGGTCGAAGGTTAGGAACACGACAACCCGATTGTCAGGCACAGAAACTTGCTCTTCGGACATGGAATGTCACCTCACTGGGAGGGAAGGAGCCCGAGCTTGTGCGGGAGGTGGAACGATACTGACTAGGGCTCACCTCCACACATAGCTTGGGCTCTGGAACTCAACTTCTTGAGAATGGCTTGACTTTCTTCTATCCTGGAGTTGCTCACGGCAAGAGGCGGCGGGATGGTGTGGGCTTGCTTATGGCTCCCCAACTTAGCCGCCATGTGTTGGCGTTTTCCCCTGTGAACGAGAGGGTCGCCTCCCTGTGCCTTCGGGTCGGGTATAGGTCTCTCACTGTGGTATGTGCCTACGGGTCAAACACCAGTGCAGAGTACTCGGCCTTCTTGGAGTCCTTGGGAGGTGCCCAGACTGAGGACTCCATTGTTCCACTGGGGGACTTTAATGCCCACGTGGGTAATGACAGTGATACCTGGAGAGACGTGGTGTTTTGTTATTGGACTTCTGTGCTAATCACAGTTTGTCTATAACAGACACCATGTTCAAGCATAAGGGTATCCATCAGTGCACATGGCACCAGGACACCCTAGGGCGGAGGTCAATGATCGACTTTGTGGTTGTATCGTCTGATCTCCGACCGTATGTATTAGACACTCGGGTGAAGAGAGGGGCAGAGCTGTCAACTGATCATCACCTGGTAGTGAGTTGGATCCGCTGGCAAGGGGGAAAGCTGGACAGATCTGGTAGGCCCAAGCGTATTGTGAGGGTCCTCTGGTAACGTCTTGCTGAACCCCAAGTCAGAGGGATTGTTTATTCTCACCTCCGGAAGAGCTTTGACTAGATCCCGAGGGAGGCTGGAGACATGGAGACTGAGTGGTCCATGTTCTCCGACTCTATTGTTAATGCGGCCGTGAGGAGCTGTGGTCGTAAGGTCTGTGGTGCCTGTCGGGGCGGCAATCCACGAAGCCAGTGGTGGACAATTGAAGTAAGGGATGCCGTCAAGCTGAAAAAGGAGTCCTACAGGGCTTGGTTGGGGGGAAAGCATCTCCACATTGATGCTGTTTACAGCGGAAGTGGGGAGCTGTTGACATCAACTGGGGATGTTGTCGGGCCGTGGAAGGAATACTTTGAGGATCTTCTTAACCCCACCAATATGTGTTTCATCAAGGAAGCAGAGACTGGGGATGCAGGGGTGGACTTGCCCATCACCCAAGGTGGTTTGCAAGCTCCGCAGTGGCAAAGCAGCGGGGGTGGATGAGATTCACCCTGTGTCTCTTAGGTCTCTGGATGTTGTGGGGCTGTCGTTGCTGACACGTCTTTACAGCATTTATGGAGGTCGGGGACAGTACCTTTGGACTGGGCAACTGGGGTGGTGGTTCCCATTTTTAAGAAGGGGGACCAGAGGGTGTGCTCCAACTATAGGGGGATCACACTCCTCAGCCTCCCGGGGAAAGTCTATGCCAGGGTACTGGAGAGGAGGATCCGGCCAATGGTTGAATCTAGGATCCAGGAGGAAAATTGCGGTTTTCGTCAGGGCTGTGGTACACTGGACCAGCTCAATACCCTCACCAGGGTGCTCGAGGGTTCATGGGAGTATGCTCAACCAGTCCACATGTGTTTTGTGGATTTGGAGAAGGCATTCGATAGTGTCTCTCGCGGCATTCTGTTGAGGGTGCTCGGGGAGTATGGGGTCAGAGGCGATTTGTTAATGGATGTCTCGTCCCTGTATGAACAGAGTAGGAGTCTGGTTCACATTGCCGGGAATAAGTCAGATTTGTTTCCAGTGCATGTTGGACTCCGGCAGGGCTGCCCCTTGTCACCAATTCTGCTAATAATTTTTATGGACAGAATTTCAAGGTGCAGCCTTGGGCTGGAGGTTTTTTTTTAAGACTTTGTTAAGGGTCAAGGGTGGGGTACAGCTAAGGGGAAAGGTCGTGTGGGATGGATAGGAATAATAGTTAGTTAACCCCCAGGGGTCGACAAATTCATATCACCATTGTGGAGGATAGTAGCATCTGTGTGCAAGTTCAAAATTAACTAAGGATAGCTGATAGGTAACTGTGGGTAACTGTGTAGTTACTAAGGCAGTGAAGATCTGTTTGCTAATTGTACACACATGAACACATTAGTGCATTAAATGACTTTACGTTTTTATGAGCTAAACTAGGTTTTTGTGAACGAACATTATATCAGTTGATAAAATAAGGTTATTTTTTGTAAATTTAAACAGTCCTATAAAACTTCCGTATTTTTACAGAAATTTCCTGTCAACCACTGCCGGGATATTTTGTAATTTTAACAGATTTTTTTTTTTAACAGTGTAAAAAAATTAAATTAAAGCTAAATTATAAATGTTGTGTTGATTGAACTAAACAACATTACATTACTTTTAGGTAACTAACTTAAGTTTACTCAAATAAATATTCTTTCTTTAGGGTAACTTAACTCGGTTATGTGGAACCTGTTGACATAAAAAAGTTAATTAAAGCCAACATATCATTTTTTGAGTGTATGTGTATTTAGCACATAATCTATAAAAGGAGCTTAAAATACTAATTTTTGGATCCTATTAATAAGAATTAAGTAATTAATTTTTTTGAATAAGTTGAACCTAGCAGCCAAAAGTTTGAAAGCTCACTAAGACTGTGAATATTTGAGCAAAATATAAATGAAGGGTGATAGAGGGAAATATTATTTTGATATAAAGTAATTGTTTTTCGAGTTAAAAAAAAAAAAATTATTATAATCAAAGCTTTTGCCATTACTTCAGTCTCAAAGAGTCATTCGGAAACAATTCCAGTGCTGAATTAATGGCAGAGAAACACTTTTTATTACTACAGTGTTGCAAACAATGATATACAAAAAAAATTAAATAAAAATAAAACAACAACATTTTAACCATGAAATAAACCTTACATTTATATTAATTTAATGGTATAATAATCTAAAGAAAGACAATATATTTTATTTATAATATATTTTAACAGTAAACTGTTTACATGCACTCACAAGTAAATCTTTCCCTTATTCACATGGCCCATTATGCAGCTCATTATGTAGGCCTTTGTCTTGTCAGGTGTGAATTGATGCATTTTTTATGATAGTTCATGCCTTCTTGCATACGAGCCATAAGAGGAAGTGAGCACACAAGAAAGAAATAAAGTATGGATATATCAAAAAAATTAAATAAAATGAGAACAAAAACTACACAGAGGGGCAAAACATAAACTAAACAAAATTGACTAGGCTGGACTGGACTATCAGGGAAGAGCTGGACAAGACAAGAAAATACAAGACAATATTATCAGAAAAGAACAATGATTATAATTAATGACAAACTGGCACAGGATAGCAGACATGCATGAGCTATAAGGAGAACAAATCAATAATTAAACTGGTTTACAGAATAAACTAATAATGCGATAACAAAATGGGTGGGACTAGACAATATACAGGAGAGCACATGGCACAAAGAGACAAACTCAGAAAGCCATGTGGTCAAGTCAAACAGGACTAGAACTTGCAGCTGTAGCAGATCTCAAATAGATACCCCGCAGACACCACAGAAACAGTCACACACAGACGGGATGACAAAAATGCTGTTTTTATTCTCTAAACAGCACAGTGAGTACACAGTAACACCAGAAAACTACTCTCTTATGCCTCAGCTTCTCCACCTGCGTACACCACACAACCAAGCACGTGCACACTGAGAAAAATGTTAATTTTTTTTTTTACTTTAAATGTTGAAATGCAAATAAAAATAAAATTGCATGTCGAAAATTACATAATGTAAACTGTAAATAAAAAGTAAAACTTTTTCCAAACCTAACAGATAGACTTGCAGCAAACTCATTTACATCTGACTTGTATTATGACTGTAAGTTGCAATAATATGTAGATATTGAATCATCACTGATACAGTTCTTTTGTTTGTATTATTAATAATAGTACCAGCATTATTAAGCAAAAATCTGCCAAAATATAATTTAATAATATAATTATTATACATTTTAATTTAAACTGAATCACATTTGGATTCACAAAATAACGAATTAATAACCAAAATAACACACTTTAAACAGAGTAGTGAGGCACAGTGAGTACACAGTAACACCAAAAAAAAATATACTCTCACATGTCTGCATGAAAAATAAACGTGCGGATGAAACTCTAAATAAAGCACAGAAGATGCGGCATTTTAGAGTAAAAATGAACTGATTACATGGATACACATTATAACAGAAACCGACTTGAGGCACTTTAACATCAAAAATGACTGCATAATTATTATGTTTGCAAAGACAATGTAAATGCAAGATAAATGAGAGTGAAAATTACTTCAGCTTCTCCACCTGCGTACAACACGCAACTGAGCGTGTTAGCATTTAAGGAAGATTTACCGTTTTCACCAGTGTTACACTAATCACAGCCCTACCTACAACAAACGAAGGAACTCTCGGAAAGGATAATACAAAACATTTATTATTATTATTATTATTATTATTAAACTTTTTTTTATTTTTTTAACCAGGAAAGACACATTGAGATTAAAATTTCTTTTACAAGAGCATCCTGGCCAAGATTAGGCAGCATACATGTTACATGGGTCTAACAAACAACAATTGAGAGTTAAAATGAATCATACATTGACAAACAAATTGTTCAAAACATCTACAAGCCTGTGTTTCAATTTCTAAATCATTTAAACTCTTTTTAAGAGCATTTAGTGAAATCAATTCTTTAAACTGCAAAAAAGCCTTTTCCCCCATCTCAGTCCACACTTTAGGAACAGACAGTATAATTGTA